AACTTTGGTCACATATTTATGGATAGTTCAGCTTGAGTGAGGTAATGTGAGTAAACTTCCGTCAAATTGACTTGCAATTCGACCTCTGCCCAGTAATTCAACCTGCTTTGGCCACTTTTTCTTACATTTTTGTGCTGATATTTCTGAATTTCATCAAGTGTCTTGCAATTCAACCGCTTAATGATCAGACCCAAGTCTGGTAACAGATTAGGGTCGAATTGCGAGGTACCACCTGTATCACAGTTTGGAGCAAGATTCGTTCAGTTAGGTTACAGATTACTTAGGTGAGACAATACTTACAGTAAGTGGATATCTTGGCAGCAGAAGACATTTACAAACGGATGAAGCAGCTTTAGTTTATCATTCATCAATGGTACATGATTTTTTTTTGGTAAGATCAGTTATAATGACTTCTTATGTGTGCTATACCTACGTGCAAGTAAGAGCGACTGTGAGCGCTGTAAATAGTTTTAAGGTTCTTTACGGTAGGGCCTTTACCCTAAAAGCGCAAAATTTCCAGAGTCAGCCAGCTCAGGATTTCCGCGGGAATCATTTCTAACTCGAGTCAACGAAAAAAAAAAACAGCAAAAGTTCACTGCGCCGAACCTCATCTCACACAAATTTTAGTGGAAAAGAATGACGACACTCGTCGCTGATGTCACTTTGTGCTCGTCAACCCTCGCTTCGTCACTTTGAAGCACGTTGAAAAAAAATTCAAGTGTCGGCATGAAACAAAGTTATCAAGTCACACTCGGGATTCCTTCACTTTCCAACACACAAAAAAATTTTTTATCTGGTAGCATGAAAACTATGAATCACATGCACGATGTCTCGTGCTAAAAGATACGAAAACGTGCCAACAATTCGGCGAGCAATTCGTGAGACGAAACGATCACACGACGACACTTTTGATCACTGCTGAATCTCACAGCCGACTTCCTCATGAAATTGAAATACTTGTACTTCACAGATCACAGTGAAATCTCAAATAATAAACTAGATCCATTTCAGATGGAAGTCCATTATCTCGAAAGTCAATAAACCACTCAATATAAAGCTAAGAGTTACAGTAATCGACTCCAGGAATATCCAAAAAGTCCCCCAGTTCAGCCTAGTAATACAGATCCCTCATGAATTTATTTCTACATCACGGTACTTTGAATGATTCAGAATAAATCATGACGGAATTGCGGACACGCAATAAGAGCAAAAGCCTCAACAAAGGAAAAGAATCTTACGAGAAAAAATATTTCCGCTTGAAAATTTACTCCCGCGAACCAATTACCCCAAAAAACTTCAATCATCAAAACAATCTCTTATTTTTATCCAAAGCAGAGTCTACTGTCCGCAAGATAAAATGATGAAGATACAGTACAAGTTCATTGTGCAAAAATCCAACGCGCGATTGTAACTAATGATAAAGGGTAAGGAATGATCCAAATGAAGTCGCAAATATCGAACAGCTGACTGTATTAATTCAACGAGACAAATTAAAAAACCCCTGTCACATCATGAACCGAGATCATCACAGCGTCGTAAAATTCAAGAGCCGTTCGCCGAATCGCTGCCTTGCATTTGCTTGAGCACCAGGGCTTCAAAATCGTCCAGGCTGGATTCGTTAACCTTTCGGAGAGTTAATAATTTAAGTGAACGAAAATGAGAGGGAAGAATCGCTGCAAATATAGGAAACTAACCTGTGCTGAAAGGTGTGTCCTTGTCTTTGGCTCTGTAGAACCATCCATATAGGTAACTTTTAAAGGAGCGTCACTTCTACCCCGCTCAGACCGCATCGCCCTCGTCTGAAAAATCCAGTTCAGAAAACAAAATCAACGAGCGAAAAAAAAGTATTAAAAACTTGAGCGAAAAGAAAACCAAGAACATTATCGCTAGAACTTTCGTCACTTCGGAAGCGTGAAGAAGAAACAAACTCGGAAGACGTCCTTCCAGTGACTCAAGAAATTTTTTTTTCAACAAGAATCAAGTGATGGCGTTACGCAATTTCGAAAAAACAAGAACTCACCGCAGCTTGGGAATAATGAAACTCAACCAACGCTTTCCCGCTTTTCTTCGACATCACAACGTCACAATCACCGTACTGAGAATAAAAATTCATCAAAAAAATTGATAATTTATTCGCACGGAGGTCTCGAGACTAACCTTGAAAAATATTCGATTGAGATCGTCTTGTGAGTAGTCGTAACTCTTAGGATCCCATGAGACTCGCAGACGGCGGTAGGATTCTTTTTCGTCGTCCTGAGAATTCAGCAAATCCTCCGCTAATTTTTTCTTCAACCTTTCTTGCTCTTCCTCGAGTAAACGAGAACCATCTCGCCGAAGTCTTTCAACATGCGCCTGAATAAACAAATAAAACCATCAGGGTCTCCTTCGTGGTAAATTAGGAAGAGACTCAAATCGATGAAATATTTTTCATTTCAACTTTTGTTGAATCATGGGATCAATATTCCGGCACAGGGCTTCTATGTCCGAGAAATCCGTTCTCAGTCGTGAGGTTAATGTTTCTGAAACTCATTCACCGCTTGTATTCCATTCAAATTTCAAGAAACTAGAAGAAGCCAAAAAAGTTCTCAAAATCTGTCCGATAACTCGGCATACCAAAGGCATTTTCCTCCCAGTTCGACCTTCTGACATTCACAATTCTAGAGACACTAGACCGAATTTTTCAAATTGTCGTCACAATTCGAGAAATTTTCACAGACAGGCTTTTGCTAAGCGGCCTTGAAAATGTTCGAACGACGGATAAAAAAAAAGTATTCACCATTCGAAAGGAAATGAATCGAACTTTCGTTTCATTCAAAACTTCGCTTTTCAGCAGGCACGACTCTTGAAATATTACTTAATGCAGTTTAAAATCTGCAATAGTTTACTGATTACTGCATAAAAATCGGTTCAAGATTTCCTGGACCACCTGGTATGGAATTGTTTCCACCTTCACGAAGGGTTGGGTCAGAATCCTGTCCCCGAAAAAATATATACAATGCATTTAAAATATTTCAATTATATCATAAAATCACAACGATCACTTGAATCAGGGACATTTTGCATCTTTTTGCACATCAAAAATTGTTCCATCCACCTTTTTTAACAAAATGTAAAGTTTCGTTTTTCCTCCACCTACAGTATCAATTTCCATTTTCTCATCCACGCGTGACGTTGGACGAATGATTTCATTTTCTGATAAGGTTCTGGTGCTTTTGAGAGCCTTAAAACAGAACCCATCTAATTTACATTGACCCTCGGAAAGGATTCTCAAGAAATTGTTGAATTTAATACATGCACTGTAGTCGGATTTTCAATTGAGTTTTCAGCTAATTGTTTCCTGAATCCACGCATCCTTCGATCAACGCCAAGAAACGCGATCGTCCGCTTTAGACACACTCGACACACCTCACTTCTCACTAATTCGCACGTAGCCTCAGAAGAAACACCAACAAACCTCGAAATCCTTCTGCGATTTGAAAATATTCTCCTCTTTATCCGAAGCAACAGCTTTTTCTCTGGCCACCAGATCCTCCTTCAGCTTTCTGCGTTTGGCACTCAGTTGTTCATCTCGCAATTTGGCTTTCTCCCGGGCTTGGAGCAATTTGTCATACGCCGAACGCGCTGATGCGTCCAACAATACTTCTAGGGCTTCTGAAAGCTGATGAAATAATGCGTTTGCTTTCGGATCATCTTTGTTCTTGTCCGGATGAACTTCTAGTGCTTTGCGACGATACGCTTTCCGAATTTGCTTCTCATTCGCATCGATTGACACTCCGATCAAGTCATAAATGTTCACGGACGTTATGTCCTTCTTTTTGGCAGACATCTTTCTGAGGAAGAAAATGGAAGATTTTGAGTCGGAAAAAAACAACCAAAATTACGGAACTTCGGTTCTCCTCGCTTCAACACCCCACCTTTCTACCAAATTATAAACAGGAATTTTGCAGGCAACAAAAAAAATTGCGTTCTTCTTCAGTGTCTGAAAAATTTTCTCTTGAAAGAAGCCGACTGTTCTTGTGGAGCTTGATCCGGAGAAAAAGCTAGGCTTTCATTCCATCAGCATATATTCGCAAGTTTCTTTTTTTCAACGAAGGAGAACTTCAATGTAAATTTATTCCTGGCAACAGGCAAAAGCTTCAATAATCAAAAGTAATCGTAACTTCATCTTTGATCGTTATCTTAATGAACGGCGCAAAAAGGGCACCACATCGATGATCGAAAAATTGTCGACGAAATCTTTCTTTCATACGTTCACGAATTTAAGGAAACTACCTCAGTACCCCGTGATTTCCTTTAAAATGAGTTTGAACGTGAGCAGATTACACCACATGTGTATCCATTTCTTATCCATACTATCTGAAAGTTGAATTTAACCTCAGACTTGGTCCTCATATGATCAGATCTGAGAAGACTATTATTCCGTACAACCTGCAGAGAAAATTTTCCGCAGAAAATTGCATCCTCATTTTAAAGCTAGCTTCTCTGGACTTTTTAAATAACATATGGAAAACACCGCGAACGTTTTGGTGGGGTGTTCGACAGCGAAGAGCCGAAGAGTAAAGAACTCAAAAGTTGAATGAGGCGAAGGGCTTGTCGTGAAAGGAATCCTGACTTCATTTATTCGCCTATCACTCCACTCGGTTTACCATAAACAAATGGGGCATTCGATCTAGCGAAAAGTGAATCTGTAACAATACAGCAATTTGATTCAATCTCGCAACCGCAGTACTTTCTCTCCCTCTTTTTCTCATCCTCACAAGTGATGAACACGCGTGATTTCGCAGAGAAGAAATCCATGCGCTACGTCGAGTGAGTTTCTCCGATGCCGATAAGTAATCAACCTGACTAAAAAGACATAGACACAGACCACAGCAAAGAAAGCTATAAGAAGGTGGAAAAACCAACGAACGATCGCGTGCATTCGGACAACGTATGACGGATTAAAAAAGAAGATGAATGGGGGCAAGCTGCAATTGCTGAGTACACCCGGCGAGATTCGGTTACATTCCGTTCGAAACTTCGCGCTCGCCTTGGCCATCAGGTTGCGGATGCTTCATGACATCCGGGAGTTCCGGTGGGACGGAGAGAGGAGTAACTTCGAGTGGTTCGAATTCTCCGGTCATTTCATCGCGGAAAGCGAGTCCGATTATCGCAGGGTTCTGAGCCCGAGCGGAGTGGAAGGACAGGCCGTAGTCGGAGAGGGATTTGTGGTCCTCCATAACACAATCATCCTTGGTCAGCTTCTGGTTAGCAGGAGCCACTTTCAACATACCCTGTACGATCTTCTTAAGCTCTAGCACCTTGGTGGTTTCCTTCGCTTCGATGAAGGCATTCGTCTTCTTCCGCCGAATAATCAAGAACACGTCCATGATTCAAACGCGCCGTCTATCTGGGTAAGCCAGCTCACTGCCTGTAATAAAAGAATTAATAGCATTAGACGTCGATTAAAATAAAGCTGAAAACATTCTGGTAACAAGGATTCACGCTCTAAACTTTTATCACACAGAAAACCGATAACCACGCTGTAAGTGGCCGAAGGAGATCATCATAGTTATTCCAATCTTCGATGCCCAACCCTCGACATTCACAAGAACACGACTGTCGCCGCCCCCTGATGATGCACATATCATCATTCGGTCAACACGTAGGGTCAGCACGTCCACTGCTGAAGCTTCGCTACAAAAACGGGGACACACAATATTCCCACATGGTGCGAAACAACCTCGCAGAATCCAACGTTCCGTCGCTAAATAATTTCAGGATTTAGGAGCGCAGAAATTTCACGCATGCCACCGGACCTCTCACAACCCTAAGCTCCGCACTTCCTCACAACAAACACATGTTTCATCAGCTCTTCATTGAGAAACTTCGACGGAGGACGTTGAATCGACCATGCTTGTTCGATTCTGAAGTTTCTAAGTTTTACTTATCGGACCTTGCACCATAATTCCTCAAAGCTTCACGCGAGCACATCAAACTCCAGTTCAAGCACAACTGACATTGTGACCCTGGATTTTGCGAATCATTCTTCTTTCACATTCGCGAAATTTGACGGAGGACGATGAATCGATTGTATTTGTTCGATTCTGAAGTTCCTACGCTCCCAAATATAACCCAAACTTAAAACATTTTGAAGTTCCTAGACTTCCCACCGAATCTTGTGAAATTTCACTGAGGCTTCACAACACTCGTGACATTTTGATGCAGTCCAGTTCTTCTTGAAGAACCCAGCTTGCTTCCTCCTCATTCTCACACATCCCATTCAGCTCTTGTTATGGCATTTCAGCGACCAAGAACACCCTAGCAATACGGTGGACAATCTATAGGTAGGGAACAATTCCAAAACAAAAACTTTTGATGGAATCATCCGTCACTGTGCAGGTCCATCACTGAATACGAATTTATTGTACAATGAATTCATCTTGATATCGATTTTTGACTCCGCAGATTCTGCGCAGTATTTGCGGGAAGAGCATTGGAATCTATGTTAGATGCTAACAAAGAGTTTCCCTGTTTCCAATCTATCTGGCTAGATGACGCTCAAAATAAGTGCGATTCCGTCACACAATTCAAGGTTGGAAAAGTTTATAAAAAGTAGCATTTCCATGCATGAATCACACCGTGAAAAAAAGAAATTCAGAGCTTAAAGAAGCAATACTGTATCCAAGAAATTTTTTGGAGGAAGTAGAACAAAGAACTCATCTTGAATCCTCAGAACACCAGCACTTGCAGCATGCTGTTCAACATATATTTTCTTATTATCTTTTTATACAGCAGTTGATACTCTGGTATGACACGTTTTTTATATTTGAGTAAGTCTTGGTCCGGTCGTCTTACAGAAGTATGTTTAATAAAGAATCTGTTCTACATAATTTTCTCAGTATAGGACACTACGTACGACATGTATGACACTTGGCAACACTTGAAAACCTTTGTGGGTAGCAGTTTATTCTTGATGGTCTCTGCAGTGTTAATGCACAGCTCTCATGCAGCACCTTCCCAAGTGGGGAAAATTGGTGCACACTGGGGATATGCCTGTTATTCTATACTCAGTGACCAGGCCACGCACCAGAAGTGTACCAAAGTTTTTCTTCTGCAGATGTGCATCCATAATCTTCACCAGCAGTATTGTGTGTTTACAGTTCACACCAGGGTTACTCAGGGTCACATCATAGGGTACCTACATATTTGTGAACAAAGAAGTCACACCAAAGTTACAGTTGAAAAATTATTTAAGGGTGTTTTACAGAAGGATCAAAACATTGAGTGCATGCTTTCAAACTTTCACACTGGAAATTGCATGCAAAAATGACTTGGGTTCAATTATACTTAAAAAAAGTACAAATTGCAATCTTCCTCTGATAGTGTGATATTTTTTGCGCATTGAAGGTAAAATAATTATTATTGCATATATACCGAGACTATTATAGTACAGTGCAAAGATCAAGTTTTTGCGCTTAAAAAGGGTTGAACCACAAACTTATAATACCTTCCTAAAATTTTGAAATGCTTCCAAAATTTCTTATTTTGGAGAATATTCAAGAAGATGCAATGGATATTATAATTAAATTTGAAATTACTCTCTCTCTCTCTGTATGTCAACATTGCAAATCAGTGAATTAAATTGGAATAAACATTATCCAGTCAAACCTCCCCAGAAGTCAAATTCCAAGGGACAAGAAATAAAATTTCACTCATGGTGGATTCAAGTTACGGAAACTACCATTTTTGTCTTGAGAAATAAGAATTGAATTAAGCTAACTTAAGTGGAATTTCTTTTGCCAAAAACTGCATGGTACAGAAGTCTGCCAGATGCTGAACTTGGATGCAAGGATCATTTGCCAAAATATTCTTTCACTTCCTTTCAAATACTGTATCATTAAGATACCGTTTTATTGTCCTTCTCTTTCTTGAGTCACAAACATAATATAACTATAACCAGAATAAGGCATCCTTGAAATTCCAGTTATGTAGATCTGAGGAAAAAAGCCTTCAAGTGATTATTGAAAGAATTTTAAACAAAATTGACATATGGAGGTATTTGACTTCCATGTATTTTTACCCCTCAGATAAGAGAGGGTTCTTTTTCATTGCGCAGCAGAGTTGGGATTTTGAGGGGGGGGGGGCAGGGCATTTCAGTTTGACCCAAGGTCACTGAAATGCTCCCATGTCAAGAAGGACCAAGTCAGGAAAAATTCAGGGGCCAAATTTTCTATATTTTTTCAGGATTCTCCAATGAAAATCATTAGCCAGGATTGCAAGAAAAATGCCACTGAATGAGGAAATTTTTTCAGTCAAAATTTTCTTCAGGATTAAAAAAAATATATATATCAGACTTTTTCTCCACTTAGGCCTTAGTACAAAAAGGGGATTTTTCATTTCCAGTGCTCAGTGCTGGCAAAATGTTTTTTGAAAATATCCTGACTTCCCCTCACAAGGGTTTAAGCAGTGCAGTTCAAATACATGGAGTCTGCTGAAAAAGTCACTGAGAAAAGATTTTCCCCCTGAATTTTACTTTCAAAAGTGTAGATTTCAGTTGTTTTTAAAAAATTATTGCCTCAATATTGGGGTTTTGAGCAGGTGCAATCCAGAAATACTCCAGAAGAACAATTCTTCATACCATTGCAACTCCAGAAAATGTGCTGAGCCACTTAAATACACTCAGTCTGCTGAAAAAGTCATTGGAGACAGGCTTTCAACACAACTGTCACCTTCACAAGCGTGGATTGCAGTTTTTTTTCAGAATTTATTGTTCCTATAAATGTGGTTCTCAGCAAGTTCAATCCAGAAATCCTCCAGATGATGATTTTCATAACAATTTCACTGCAGAAAGTGTGCAGAGCAGCTTAAATGCATGAAGTTTACTGAAGACGCTTTTGAAAACAGGTTTTCAAAGCAAAATCTCACTTTCAAAAATATGGTTAGCAACTTTTTAGCACTGCATGTGAGGGGCTTCAAGTTTTTATGGACTTTCATAACCATTAAAACATCAAGAATATTATTGGATAAATGAGCTATACTCTTTCATGTCATTTAAACGAGGTTTAGCAGTATAAGACTATAGAAAATATTCATCATAGCGATGAGAATATCCATTTCTTTTGGCTATCAACTGCTGTATAAAAAGATAATAAGAAAATATATGTATATATATATATATATATATATATATATATATATATATATATATACATATATACAGTACAACCAATATCGTTATATATATATATGCGTCATTCCAGCATATAAATGTTTGCAATAAGTCGGGAGAAAACAAAAGCTAATCGAAACTTCTCAGCTCGAATTTTTCAATGACCTGTTATTTGCTCTGACCGGGAATAAGACGCGTTAACCAAATACGCTTCATTCCTGCGTGATGGAGTGACCTGGGATATATGATACGATATGCAGAAGGAAAAGGGGGGACAGATATAAAAGAGACAGTTGGCCGGAAGAAGAGCTATCAATCGTTGTGCCTTTCTGATTTCCTCCTGCTGTTTTCCCTTAAAAACAAGACCGGGTCCCGGGTCAACACCGAAATCTCAGCAAACAAACGGTGGAAGGCTGAGAAGAAAGGCAGTTTTTGGAATAAGTCCCAGCATCCTTCCCACACATGAAGCCTGCTGCTGTGCATTAGTTATTTTGCTACAAGTGATACAGTAGGACACCAGAGGCGACATCATGTTGTGGGTGTTCATCAACTGGAGGACTGCTGTCCTTCATCTGCTCTGTGTTTGGAGCATAGTGGCATCAGGTGATGATTACATCATATTGGCACATCATATTTGATTATTGGCACATTACAGTAAAGTTATATTACAACAAATCTTGTTATAACACATGTTTTTCTGGGTCCCAGCAGTTTCTCCATTCCAAAATTACCCCATTCAATTAACTTCCAAGCAATTACCTTATTGATTTGGCACCAGTTCCCATGCTGAACATTTCCCCAGGCTAACAGCAGCTAGCTTAAAATTTTTTTTAGTGTATAGCTGGGTGTACCTCCCTGTTTTCTCAGAGTTGATGTTAAATCAATGTCAGCTACTATGTATTTACTCAGTGGTAATTCCCTTACTGTGTTTGAGAGTTGGATTTTCATTAGGCAGTTGTCTTGTACTTGATTGTATAGCTACAAGTGCAGCTAGCTATTGGCAAATCCCCAGGACCCAACTTCCAAATTATTTGCTATAGGGAACCCCATGCCCTTGAAAAAAGATTTGCATCAGGGTTTCTCAGTCAATTTTTTTAAACATAAAATGGTATCCCCCCATAAGATTTGCATCCCATTTTTAGTGACTCTAAAATTGCATGTTTCAAAAAATAATAACACCCAAACTTGAGTTCAGACAGTACTTAAACCTGAATTCAA